TGTCTGACTTCCATATGTGGAGACGGGCCGGCGCAACTGTCTGACAGGCCATCTCATCCGTGAACTTGAATAAAATGGCTGCATGATCACTTCTCCTTAGGGGTGGAAGGAAAGTCATTTGACCGACATCATCATCGTGTATGAAGACTAAGTCCAAGAGACGAGAAACTTCGTAATTCATATCTAGTTGAACTCCAATATGCTGTAATAAAGCTAGTGCAATTGTGGTTTTTAACAGTTTGCAATCAATGACGTTGTTGATGAACCTACTTCTATGTTACCTTTGCAGGTACCAACGAAGTTGACTCTGAGTGTTGCTTATTGATCGCCAGTATAATTATCTCGATTGTTTGACCATTTATTTCTTTTAACAATCAAATTTCTAGGATTATTTGGTTTGTATTTTGCAGGTGACTCAATTTGTTCTTTGAAGCTTGTAGTTGTTTAAACTGTCGACGAAGCCTTTACAAAATATTTATAACATATCGTGCGCACTTGACGTTCTAATTGAGATCAGTAAGAGTCTCTCTTCGTTCTGATTGACAGTTTCTGGTAAACCTCTTGATCAAAAGTTTCATTGGGTTTTCAATATATGTCTGTCATTTTTCATTCGGGAATTCGAAACGGTCTTGATTACTAGCTAGTAATCATACTCTAGACTATGTGTGAAATTTCCATGGCTGAAAAACAGTGATCTGAAGCGTTTCTTATTTGTCTACATGAGGTAGTCCCAGACGCTTCGTCACTGCTTAAAGCCTGAATTATAGCTGATAACAAGTAACTCAAGTTACTTGCTCAGATCTGCGCAAAATTATCTGTACTCCTTTCACATAGTTGTGTTTAGCGGTTCAAAATTATTTGACAAACTGAGTATATCGAGACTTAGATCAACTGATTATTATGTTGTATTTCGAAAAGTATAGTTAGCCAAAGCTTAGCGGTATTTCCTCACCTTTTGTACAGAAGAATTGTACAAGCGTTAGTGTAACTAACTGAATTAAAAGAGCAGTTGTTTTTGGGAAAACCACCAATTTGTCTAAACTGAGATGTCTTAAGGTAATTTGATTGTATTACAGACCACATGTAGCTTCTCATTCATATTCTGGTTAAATGTCAAAGTTTATGGCTGGAGATATGATGGCTCAAAGTTTAACCATAAGTATTTGGCTTAAGTTTTACTAACCCGATGTCATAATATATCTATCGTCTTCCATTTCATATCACTTGTATGGTTGGGTTGTTCGAAATCAAGGTGAAAATAGTTTTCACTTTTTGATGAATTCTGGTGATTTAAAACTAATCACATTTTACTTTGTGAAAGTTAAATCTCTGAAAGTCATATGATTGAAGTCAGACATATTCTATAACTTGCGTCATTTTATTTAAAGTCATTTGGCCACTTTATATTACTGAGATGTGCAAATTATAATGTATTTTATCTTGTAGTGGCATGGCAGAAAATAAGAAGTTGGATGATGACGTCACCGTTGTCGTAGATAAACCAGATTATGTAAAACTGAAGCGATCTATTGGTATTGTAACCGGTTTCACCATCATAGTAGGATCAATGATTGGCTCAGGAATATTTGTCAGTCCTACTGGTATTTTGCTGAATGTCAGAAGCATAGGAGCTAGTCTAATTATATGGGTTGCATGTGGGATCTTCAGTATGCTCGGAGCGTACTGTTATGCAGAACTTGGCACGATAATAGAGCGATCCGGAGGGGATTATATTTATGTATATCAAGCATTTGGATCGTTTATTGGATTTTTGCGTTTATGGGTGGAAGTAATGGTTGTAAGACCCGTAGCAATCGCTATTGTAGCTTTGACATTTGGGGAGTATGTTGTTGTACCTTTGTATCCAAACTGTCCGCTTCCCATTATGTTGGTCAGGATTTTGGCGGTTTTATGTATTAGTATGTTTAAAAATATTTCCCTACAGCGTTTTTTCCATTTTATCAATTAGGATGTGCTCAATTATATACTCAACCAACAATAACTCGTATGCACTGTTATGGATAAAATGCACTGTTTGTATTTTCGAAAAGCGGAAAATGAAGATACTCGACAAGGGCCCCCACAAAATGCAGTTTTATAACATAAAAATGACAAACACTGCTTGGTGGGAGTATAACAGTGCTGATAAACATAAAGCACTAGTAAGCAGCTACTTCGTTCCTTGAAATGGATGACCTGAATCATTCCATCAAAATTCGTTTGTTCTTTAAATTTGAATAGAGTATAATAACATTTGGGAAAAATACCATAAATCCTGATTGTTTTCGACATTCCCGCCAAATGTATATGATCTGTGGGGATTTTGACGCAAAGCATGTACGACAGAAGAATGATGAACGAGATTAATGATGGACTAAAACTACTAAAATTAAATAAAAGTTGTTTGAGTGATAAGTGTTAAGTGCAGAATGTGTCAAAATGTGAATAAACGAAATACGAATCAGAAAGTGAAAAACTGACGACAGTTAAGTTATTAGTTGTGAGTGAATAAAGGAAAACTGAGAAGTGTTAATTTCTGGTGACTGTGTGCCTTCAATCGTAAATTATGCTTTTGACAGACTTGCAAAATGACAATGATTTGATCATAATTGTTACCAGATAAATTCAAATGTATTACATCAGTAAACATTCTGTTTATTTTTTGACACTAAATATTTTGATTAGTTGGCTTATAGATCTCAATACTACTGGTAGTTAATAATCTGTAACTTCAGTAAACTGTTTGGGATAAATAATATATCCTAGTCATTGTTTACATAGTAAACGGTTCGTTTATTATCTAATTACCTGTCAAACTAAAAGTATCAATGGAATCGATATGTGATAAATTAATTTGATAATAAGATACTGGAAGAAGTTCACTTAGAAGAAGGTTATGTAGTTTTTCAATGGAACACCTGGATGTACTGGACGGCCGTTTTGCCTTATGATTGGACCCCTCAACAGTGCGTATCCACGATCCCGTCTCACGAGATTTGAGCCCAGGACCTGTCAATCTCGAGCGCGAGCGCTTAACCACTAGACCACTGAGGCGGCCGGCATCCAACGGTGTTAATGTCTAAATCAAACCAATCCACGAATTTGAGCGACACATTTACCATTGTCTTTAGTGAGTTACTATTTCACGATAGTTTGCTGTTTTCATTATTACTGATGATTTTCCATGTGAAAATGTTTAGAACGATCACACTGATGATATTTTAATGGAAATTTTCCAATTTATTGTTATCTTGTTTCATTTCGCTTAGCATTTTTATGCTTCGTCAATTCCTTTTCGATCAAATTTTCAACAAGAATACAAGATATATTTACACTTGTGAAACTTGCCGCTCTTATAATGATCATAGTAACCGGATTTGTACAGTCTGGATTTGGTAATTTAATTATATCATTCTTTAAAATTATTTTAAATACCTTTTGTTATCTATAATAGTTACAGTCGGTTTTGTTTTGTGATTTTTGTTGGACCATGAGTGGTTTAATCTTGACATGAAGATTTTATTGGTGTGCATCATTCAGGAGTTTCTCATTTCAGATGAAGTGATTGTTTAATCTAAAATGAATGGCAACAAGTATGTTAAGTTAGTCTAAAATAAGAATGATATTTTGTTTACAGAATAGTGAGTGTTGTATAAAAGTTTTCGAAGAACAAAACTGTACGACTGTATGTGATAAAACGTACTTCGGTGAGTTTAAAAATTCGCAATATTAGTCATCAAGCTTGAGAAAAATAATCTTCTCTGTATTCTGTCAAGAATACACATAATTAATTGATTGATTGAATATGTCTTACATTAAACGTTATTTCAATGCAACAACCTTTGAACATTTCATTTCTGTTATCGCTCTTTGATTATATGACTTTTCTAATGACATGTCAGACTACTTTTATTTTTTCAAAGATTTCGATCTGAATAGAGTGATTCTTCAATAAATTATGAATGAGTAAAATGATCCTTCGTCCTACTTACGTCTGTTATCCCTCGTGGAGAATAGGCCACTGACTAGTATTCTCCAACCAGCTCTGTCCTGTGTTTCCATTTAAGCTGTTTTCAGTCTCTGTTAGTTACTCAGTGTGATTTATCTCTTCTAAGCAACTGACTAGTATTTATAATCTCTATGTATTTGTAATTGTAATCACTGTTCATGAAATGATTTAGGCATCTCGCATTGTACTTTATTGTTTAACTTCGTTTAGGTCGCTATGAAGAGCTGGAAGAACCTTTCGTCGATTCGGACTGGAGTCCTGGTAAAATAGCTAATGCATTTTACAGTTGTTTATTTGCTTATGGCGGCTGGACTAACTTAAATTGTATGGTTGGAGAAATGATAAACCCCAGAAAACATTTGTCTATAGTAATTAGGTTATCGTGCTTACTAGTGACCCTATTTTACACAGCTGCTAATGTAGCCTATGTGACCGTCGTACCAGTTGCAGAGATGTTGACCACAAGAGCTGTGGCTGTGGTAGGTGGAATAGTAATTTTACTGGTGTATTGATGCTTTTGATCAATTTTTCTATTAGTCAAGAATATTACTAATGCAGTTTCGCCGTTCAAGATCACACCATCTTGGACAGTTCAATACCCTCTTTATTTTAGTTATTGTCTCGAGCAATACAATCGGGGCTTGTAGAGGTGTCTATTTAACAGACTTGATCGTATTTGTACAAATAACGCCATTGATGATGATCTTAGGTTACTAAGTATAACAATAATGGAAACTGGGTATCCTCTGAAATTCATAAAAAGATAGAAAGTTCATGGTAGAGTGAGATCTACTATATCTTTGGCAGGGGAAATGCCTGTCTACATCGCATTACCATTTAGAGGTGATTCAAATGGTCTTTTATCGAAGCAAAAACTTAAATCAGTCATTAACAAGACATGTTATGCAGACAATGTCGTTACCAAGGAAACAACAAAGTTCATGCCTCATCGAAAACCTAGAAGAATACAAAACGATTGATTCACATCCCACTGTGTTTACCAATTTAAATGTGTTTGTGATCGCACACAAACATGAGAAGTAGTAATCGTGATCTCGAAATAAGGGTGTGTGAACGTGTACCTAAATGGCTGGAGAAACAAATAGAATCAAATGACCCACTAAGAATAGAGGATAAACATCCATCATCCCTTATTGCCAAACTCATAATAGAAACAGGTCATGAGACTGATCTTAACCCGGCTTTTGTGGTTTTGTACAAAAGTGCAAATGGGTGTATACTAAGGTTTATTGATGCCTTAGCTATACGAAAATTCGAATCCCCTCTGTGTATTCAAATACAGTTTGTGCTCACCACAAACTTATCCTGGTAATATTAGCTTATTGTCCAGAGTGATGAGGTTTCAAATTGTTTTCACATTATTTCGTTATTATTCCTCATTTCCTCTTACCCTCCATTTCTAGTCTATTTGACTTTTATTTTTATATACAAATGTTTTTGATAAGTATATGTTATCAGATTGTTCGAAATGTTTTACGCTAATATATCACATCGTTCTGATACTCTTCAGCGTCTTATTACACTATTGAAATTACTGAATAAGTTGGATTTACTTTGAAACCATTTTTTCCGTTTACTTACAAAAACAGACATTTGCTAATAGAATATACGGAATGTTTTGGTGGATAATGCCAATATTTGTTGCTTGTTCAACGTTTGGGAGTGCTAACGGAACTATATTAACTACATCGAGAATATTTGTTGCTGCTAGTCAGCTCAAACAAATGCCAGCGTTTATCAGTTACTTGCACACGGATCGATTAACACCTATTCCGGCTGTTCTGTTTACTGTGAGTTCCTTGCATAACACAACTTTCGTCAAACATAAATAGATAACAAAAAGTATTTGCATCCTTACAAATCAGTTAGTATGTTTTAAATGTGAACATTTGATGTCTAATTTGGAACAATGTCGAATATGTTTAAACTAGTTGTAGGATGACATTTATTGATAATAAGTTTGAAAATGTAATTAGATTGTGAGTCACTTTGACAATAATGGCTTTGTAGTAATTGAAACACACCAAGATCAATGATTTTCATTTTACAGTTTCAAAGAAGACTACGAATGAAAACATAGTTTAGACAAACTTTAATTGGTGAAGATGAAATACAAGTTTGAAAAGAGACATGAAACCTTTGAAAATTAACTTCAAATCTACATGATAGATTGTCCCAAATCTTTATTTCTAATCATGTAATTGTGTATAGGGTTAAACGTTTTAGCTGATGAGGAGTTTTGAAATAAAGTAATGAAATCATTTTAAACTTCAGATCTTACTGTTCCTGATCTGCTCAAAATTCAACTAAATAAGTATTGGTGGCTTTATGTAATATTATGTTTTTGGTACAATACAGAAATCTCAGCACGAAGGATCTTAACAAGTTTCCCTTACTTATTTCTTGGTCGACTGTTGTGATAAATGTTGAGTAGTTGCCAGTTATATGTTAGCAGTTCAGGACTCGACATTTGAATAATCTACATTGTTTTCGATGCATATTGCTAGCAACCACGATGTCTCTGATTGAGTTTAGTGTATGTGTTGTGATTCTATTGCTTATTTTTAACTTTTACTGATTACTCTTTTAGTGTATCGTATCAATAATTTACTTGCTTGCTGGAGATATTTTCACACTTATGAATTATATGGGTTTTGTTCAATGGTTGGCAATCGGTCTTTGTGTTCTGATTGTAGTAATTTTCAGATTTACTCGTCCTAATATTCAACGTCCGGTTAAGGTAAATTAAAATTTCTGAAACGGTTTTGCGATATTATTCCTTAAGATTATATGATCATAATGAGAGAGTGGTTTTGTGGAGATTGTAGTAATTTAATAATTGAATTGATGAGTCAATGGAAGCTAGTCCACGGTGGAGGTGGCGTAATTTCGTGGATTGGTTGAATTTAGGCATTAACATCATAGCATGCCTGCTCAGTGGCCTAAAGCGTAAGTGTTCACATGAGAATATTATGTTCTGGGTCGAGGATGCGCACTGTTGAGGAGTCCCATACTTGCATGAAATGATCTATCAGTGTTTCAAGGTTTTCCATGGTTGTCTAGCTGCAATGGACTCATGAATCTAATTATTACATTATTATATGATTGCATTGAATTGTTATTAATCATGACTAGTTCTAGTTAACTTTTCTTTTGGACAACTGTATTGAGTTGTACAATGTCAGCATTGGATTGTTATGTTAGCTTTTGCGTCAATTTAAGCACTGCATCATTACTTTTTCTATTCAACCAGTAGTTTTCTGTTGGAAGATTCGTTGTGTACGGTGTTGAAATTAGACATTAGTTTTATGAACTGACATAAAATTAGAAAAATCTTTTTAAAGCTGTTACGTTGATGAAACTTTTGAAGCAAATCATTAAAATCGTTTCAAACCATTGAAAAGATCTTTTCTACTATTGATGTAGTGAACGAGAACACACGTGGGGACAGTCGGATCTAATTTAATGCAACATTAAAGAACATCTTAGTAAAATCTGAGAACCATACAATGAATACTTCATTTGCAAAATGTCAATCAATCGTCATAGACTTTTTTGTTTCTGCATTTCCTTACCAATCGCTTTCTGTTCCCATTCAATTCTCCTCGATCTTCTCGACCTTCAGCTGCCAGACACTCTATTCCTGACTTGAGTTATATATTACTTATGTCGATATACGTAGCACACGCCGCGCTACCATCTAATTCAATATTTTCAACTATTACTAATACTACTACTATATCATAGAATTTTTATTTTTTCGTTATTTATATTTATTACAGGCTCCTATAATATTCGCCATTATCTACTTAGTAGTTACTGCATCTCTGTTAATTTTCTCTTTTTATGGATCGCCTCAAGAATCATGTAGGTCATTTGTTATAAATTATGTTCTATAAATTCGTATGTTTACTTTCTGAATGTAGGAATAACAGTTCGTTATATTATTCAACTATGAATATGGAGATTGAATTTCACACAACAAACTAATCAGCCATAATCTCATAAGTAACTAGCTTCGAGTTAGTTAGTATGTTGTGAGCTACTGAATTGAAATGCCGACAGATGAGACCGAAACTTAACGATGACTTTCGCGCGAAATCGTGGTGTATTGCTAACGAAAACTAATGTTAGTAGAATAACCGAACTAAACTTTTGCTATTCAATGGTACAGAAACCGACATTTCTTCACAAGACCAAAATATCGCATGTATTCGATGTTATAGCTTGTTGTAGCCCTTCATTGTTGAGATAATTCAGAACTAAGAAAAATCTAGTTCAGTTTTCCTATGGTTCTTCTTGTCGGTTATTCCTATGTCACTTTATGACTTAAATCATGATCGAAATTGAAGTTTTATGGAAAACTATCTGATCTGTACTACTGTAAGATGAAGTAATCATCTCATCATTTTAGTTAAATGGAACTAATTTCACGAATGGTTTATTTTCCTAGTATAACAATGATTACATCTGTCTACTGAATTTTCGATTGTCTTATCTCTTTTTAGTATATGGTATTTTGATCATTTTAACCGGTATACCGGTTTACATACTCGGTTGTGCGTGGAGTCCTAAACCGAAATCATTTCAGGAAAAAATGAGTAAGTAATTTTGTCAAGTCACATTCCATATCACATAATTGAAATATTTTCGAACGTTTTCGGTCTAACTGACCTATCAGTTGTTGGTTTGTTTAGTCAGTTTCGAGTTACACACTTGTTTTATCTGAGGAGTAGAGACACTACCTGGTTTCGCAAACGTAAATAAGTGTAACGGGTTTGCATATGCAATCTCATTCACCCATGTATATGTTGGAAAAGTGGTTAATGATTATATTTGGTTTCAGGAGAACTATATCATCTCAGCTATTTCGAATTCTGAATAGCACAGCTAAACCATATAATGCAACTATGTAGATGCTCAAAACCCTTTTAACCCAATACAATTATACATACTTTAACATTTGAGTAATTGACACTACTATACATTTTATGAATTTAATCAGTTTTGGACAACACTTAGTGAACATGCATTCAATCACTTCTATGCCATCAACATTTGAGTTAAACGGAAAGAAATTATGAGGCTTGAGTTAGGTATTAGGTTTGAATAATTCAATCTTCTGATTAGATCTCCAAATCTAAGTATTGATTTCTAATAATTGTTGTTATTTCAGGGATGTATACAAACATCTTATGTGTCAACTACTAATACACATGCCTTAATAAGCTCTAGCCAGTAGTTACTGGACTTCCATTTTCTTTACTGTGAAAATGTTTTTCAATTGTTATTAAACTAGAAAAGAGTTTTTTTCTCAAGTCAAGTGATAATATTCATGCTTTCAATGAATGACACATGATGTTTCTTATTAGGTCATCCATCGGTCAAGAAATTGGCAGTAATAACAAAAATAATCAGAACAGTGATAGTGAGGACAATAAGTTTCCATACAATAATCCAATAGTACAATAACATGTCAGATGGGATTTTTTGTGGATAATGTGGTAATTTTAGTAGTTGAGATCATGGGACCAATATATCCTGAGTTCGAATCTCGCTAAGCGGGATGGTAGATGTGCACTGGTGAGGAGTCCCGCATTAGGACTAGACAGCCGTCTAGTGTTTCTAGGTTTTGCATGGTTGTCTATCTTCAATTGACTCATGATCTCAACTATTAAAACCACTATAATATTCACACAAAGCCCCTTCTGATATTATTCAATATATGCTCACTGGTGACTGACTTCAAGAGGTATTTCCTGGAGTTATAATGAGAATCAGTGACCAGTGGAGTTCAACTGGGTCTGTTGTGTGATATTAACTCACTGAAGACAATGGCGGATGTGTCACTCAATTTCGTGGATTAGTTGAAGTCAGAATAGTTTATAACAAGTAACAGGAATAGTTTTTTCATGTAAATATCGATTGTTTTCTAATGCAATACAAATGGTAAGGAATTAAATCTAAAGCTTAGATTCTTAATATAGCGTGTATAACTTCGGTACTCGAATGCTAGAACCCTCCAAGTCTCAAACGAGAAGACAGAAGAAGACTGCAGAAAGTGTTTGTTGGGCAAGAATCAAGATATACAGAAAATCATGTGTATTTATAGATGTTAGCATTTGTTAAGTCAACCTGTCCGTAAAGAGGCGTGTTACACTACTGACCAACAGTGGCATGCCACGTTGATGTTCTAGAAGGCTCCATTGCATTCTGATTGGATAGTACTCTTCGACTCCTCTAGGACCTCTGAAAGCACCGTCGTAGTTCTCAGAAGCCGTCCCAGCAAAATCTTCATATAACTTCCATTGACCTTAACAAGTTAATGTGTAATTGACCTGATGAAAAC